TAAAATTATAAAAATTCAGAATTCTAATGTTTTCAAAAAATCAAACTTTAATCAAATTAGCAAAATTTTCAAGATCATAAAAAAATTCATTCATCCAATAAGAATATTTTTAGAAAATTCTAAAATATTCTACAATATTCTTAAAATATTTAAGAAGATTCAAAGAATATTTTCAAAAAATTAAATAAATTTTCTAGAAGTTTTGTCTTCATGCAATATGGAAACTTTTCAAGAAGCTTTTTAAGATTGTTTTATCTTCAAACAACATCAAAACTTCTCAAGTATTTTTCTAAGATTGCTTTGCCTTCAAGCAATATGAAAACTTCTTACCAACATATCTCTTGGAGTTCTAGCTCACCTCTCTTAGTATTAATCTTGTACTCATCTGATTTAATCAAATTCTTCTTAGATTTCTTGTTGAAACTCTTCTATTTAACTTCTTGTTTGATCTTCTATATAGTATATTTGTGACAATATTCTTCAATTTAATTTTTTAATTGACATCAAATTTATAAAAAATATTTAAGAGAAGCATAATTATAAACTCACAAATATTTACTTGTATATCTATTACAATATTCACAAATTCCAAAAAATATGTAAGTTTATTTTTATTATTTCAAAATCCAAAATCACTGAAAATATTTTATATTTCAAAAGCTCTCAAAAACTCAATTTTCATCCATATTACTTTAAATTAATGCCAAAAAAATCCTACTACAGACTTATCTCTAGTCTTGCTTTTTGATTTGTAATAGAACCTTAGAATTGCTGTATATATGGCATCATGTTTCAATAAATTCAACTTACTCATTCAAAAACATGTTTATTACTTTAAACTTTGCCACTAAGATATTTATAATGATAACCAAGTGTATATTTAGTTTTATTACTTATACCAAATTACAATAAAATCTATTTATGATTATTATAAATGTATGATGTCTTTAGTAATAAATTTGAAGATTATACTAATTATGGTATTTAAATTTAATATTTCTTTTTATAAAATTATTAGAATTTATATATAGTGTGATAATTAGTCTTTTTCAAGACATCTTGTGTAGCTTCCTATGTTCTACAAATTAAACTAATGATAAGTTATCTAAATCATATTTTGCTTCAATCAATCTTTTATTTTACATCCAATACAAATAATATCATGATACAATAATATTAGGTATGTTTGATAAACTTATTTTTTAAATCTAATTATTCAATATAATTTATTAATAGATATGTCTACTTCTAAACCAATTGATATTACACTCATCTTGTTATAGAACCAAAATCAATTCTATTTAAATCAAAAAAATTACTAATGGTTTATATTATATTATATATATATATATATATATATATATATATATATATATATACATTATTTTATGTGAAAACTAACTTAGGAATGTACCTAACATCTAATTGTGGAAGCATTTGAACTTATCTTGAAGTTTGATTTACAATCCAAAATATTGTTTCAATAATATTTATATATTATTGAAACAAGATTTGAAACCACCATATATACCAATTACTCATGATGTATTTGCTTCTTTATAAAAGTTGATCCTACAAGTAGGTCTTTGCTTATACATTGTCTTTCCTCTTCACTTGATGCGGAGGTACAAAGAGTCATCCTATCTCCTCTATCTTTAAAAGAGATAGTCCTTGCTCCCCAATCAACTTCTTTATTCTCCATTTCTAACCATGGCATACCAAGGATAATATCATACCTTAGCCTTGTCACCTTGAATTTCTTTCTTAAGATGTAGGCGTCTATAAATCTCAAGGTTTTTTCTTCACATGTCTCATTCAATACATTCTCTTGGTCATCTGCAAGATATATACTTCTTCCTTTCATTGCCTTACTTTTAATTCTAAGCTGGTTGGTAATTTTAGTTGAGATGTAATTTTCTATAGAGCCACAATCTATAAACAATCAACATGGTTGTCTTCTTAATAGTTAGTCCCATTAGATGCACCTATCAATTCTTTTTATAGTTGTCCATGTTGAAGAAATAGAACTTTGAAGTCACAACATATAGCATCAACAATGTTGCATACAAAGAAAGTATGGAGTAAGATTTCTCTCACTTCCAACATCTAATATTTATAGGTTGTGGTTGCTGCCCTACAAGACAACTTTCACTCTTTGACTTTTACACACATGATCTTAGGTCCTAGGATCCTTTGGCATCTAACATACTTTGAAGATATCCTATGTTCCTTAGATTCTTTGATATCTTACTAACCACAAGGGTATCCTATACCAAATATTAATTACTCTTACTTAGACTTGGGATATTCCCGAGTTCATATTTTATCCTCTTGACTTTAACTCTTGATCTTTGACCTCGTCCTATATCCATAGGATGTCTTTTCCATACACCAAGAGTCAATCCTTTGACCATTAATAATTTACCTATGATAATATTTTTAATTATGTAACTTATTTTATTTTTACTTATTTACTTCAACAGTCCAAAGCTATGCCATTTGTCTTTAAGAGATAGTAGCTATTTCCAATACTACTCTTGGTGCCTTTACTAAGAAGCCTTGTTTTCCTGCTCTATCTCATTATCAACTTGGTGAATTACAAAACTGTGAACCTGCCTTGACTTATTAATGCTTGAATTTTGACGTTTTGAACAACCTCCGATCTGATGGTTTGGTTCCCAATAATAAAAACATAGTTCCTTTTGCATTAATATTTGTTGTCTTTGTGGTACCAATGATCTTTGTAGGACATCATTTTCTATTGGCATTGGTTGTTGTGTCATAGTATTAGATAGCGACATAGCACTTTCTGCTATAGGTCTTGCTCCACGATTTCTAAAATCTATAGCTTTGACTTTTTTGCAATTCAAATTGTCTCTTCAAATGTTTGTGATTCTTTAGCACCACTTCTCGCTGGACTCCTAGTTTCAAACCTCATAGGAATCGATCCATCATTTCTGTCTTTGAAATATTATCAATTTCAAGATATAAAAACTTGAATTGGAAGATATAATCTTGCATTGACCTAGATTATATAAGCTTTGTCAAGTGATCGCATGCTATCTTTTTTGTATTGATGGGCCAAAATTGATTCTTAAAGTCGATCTCAAACTCTTATCAATTACAAAATCTATCCTGAGATCTATTACTTTGAACTTGATGTTGCTACCAAATGGATGTCGCACCTTTCAAATAACTGGTTACATATATAATTTCTTTATTAGTATTTATCCAAGATAGTTAGAAGAATTGTCGCATGTTGAAGAGTCATTGACATACATCTTCTTATCTTAAAGTTCCAGAGTATGTGCTAAGCTTACTCAATTTTAGCTTAGCAGATATTGATTATCTTGTCCTTCAAGCTTCTATTTGTCCTTGCAAAGTAGCTATCTGACCTAAGAGGTATTGTATTTGAGCCTCTATGTAGGATTGCTCCACCAAATCTCCTATATTATAATTTCTTTGCTAGATTCTACTATTGTAATGCCTTCTCACCTCTCATTTAATTTTTTAAGAGTAGCTTGTAGTAGCTTCAATACGATACCCAATGTGACCACAACAATTGACTTTAGATCAGATGATTACTATTGACATATTACTAAAAATAAATAGTCTAACATTCACTCTAATACCAATGAAATAAGACTTGTTTATCTCAAAGACTCAAGATCCTTCTAATCTACAATAATATAAAATTTTATCACAAAGTATGACAAAATAGACCAAAATAAGACTGAATAGAACTAAACAAAATAAGACACGAAAGACAAAATTGAGTAAATTGAAATAGAATAGAATAGAACTGAACAAAACTAAACAAAAAGATGCAAAATCAAATTTTAATAAGAGAAAGGATCTAAAGCCATACCTAACTAGATGCTCCAAAAGGCCCTTGCTAGTCCTATTTATACTTTGTTTTACTACCTTAGATTTTCTAAAATATTCTTAGGTGGTAGATTCTACTTAGATTACTTTCTTAAACTCTTTTTAGAAGATTTCATGGTGGATCCCACCTAAATAACTACCTTAGGTCTTTTTTAGAAAGTTCTATGATAGATCCCATCTAGATAACCTCCTTAAATTCTTTGTAGAATGTTTCATAATGAGTCCTACTTGGTCCACTAATCTAATCCCAATTCTAGAAACTTCCATGGTTCTAACTATCTATCTCTATACAAATATCTTATCTATACCCTATTAGAAGCATATTTTTGTTATTAAAAATAATATTTTGAAATAAATAATCATGCAAAATATTTCATCTTTAAAATTTTAAAACAAAGTAATACATTCTAATTTTATATTTGTTTTTAGGATGAAGCTCAAAGCATTGAATTGCATAGAATCTCTCAATATTTTGTTAAAACAACGGAACATATATGAATACATCATATTATTCCAAATAAAATTTCACAACTTTGTCACTTCATTCTTGAAGCAAAACCAATACATATTTTATTAAATCAACGGTATCAAAAATAATAATTAAAAAATAATAATAATTAATAAAATCCACTCACCAAAGAGTTCAGTTTCATATGAAAGACAACTTCCAGCTCCAACTAACCGAGGAATTTAGCGGGGGAAGTGACGAGGGGGGGATTTAGCGGGGGAAGTGACGAGGGGGGGGGGATTTAGCGGGGGAAGTGACGAGGGGGGGGATTTAGCGGGGGAAGTGACGAGGGGGGGGATTTAGCGGGGGAAGTGACCAGGGGGGGGGGGATTTAACGGGGGAAGTGACTAAGGGGGGGATTTAACGGGGGAAATGACCAGGGGGGGAATTTAGCGGGGAAGTTGGAGGATAAAAAGGCGGAGGCCAAGGCGGGGTGGCGCAGGTGTGGTGCCCAGGATTGGAAGCGCGCTCCAGCTCGGGTCTTGAAAAGAGCATCGAGTAGGATAAGGTAGCGCCAGCGCCACGGCCATTGCTCCGCCCCTCTCCCCCTCGTATTTGCCTCCTTCCCTTCCCTTCCCTTCCACTTTCCCTCCCCTTGCAACAGCAGCGACGTCACCCCCCCACCCCCCCCCCCCATCACTCACTCACTCACTCACTCACTCTCCCTCCCTCACCCCCACGCTCCCACCCATTTGCTCACCTCGTTGCTGTTGCATTCGAATTGGAGGGTGACCATGGCGCAGTCCTGCCTGCACTCCACCGCCGGTAATGCCTTGGCTTTCCCGACTCCAGTGTTTGGGTCCCTCCCCTTGTTGCTCCAAATTTGTAGCTTGGGCGGGACTGACTCCATTCGTGGGCATACCTGCATTCTTGTGATTGATTTTGGATTTTTAATTTCTTTTTAATTTTTTAATTTTGATTTGGTGAATTCAGTGATTGTTTGATGTAAAAGTTGTCTGCATCGTTTGTGTGGATGTTGTATCCGGGTTGTTTTGGGTAATTGCGTCGGTTTCTTGCAAGGTTCGCGTTGAATTGCATCGGTCTAGTCTTCGGCGATACTATTTCGTAGCTCAGAAATGATGAATGAAGCATGATGGCAGTATTAACTTTGGGTTCGAAGAATTATAGCAATAGGGTATGGCTGATCACACAATCGCAGAAGGGATTGGCTCTTCTTTACGCGCTCTTATTTGTTAAACTTCTGGGGAAAATGTGCTTTGAAGACTTCAACACAGCAGTGTCCACTGAAGCCTTCAAGTTATTGAGAAGGTGATCATTTGACTTTCAACTCAATGTTGTCACTGACTCGTGCGTCGCATCTGTGCACAGGAGCAGCTATCTGGACATTTCCAGCGGCCAAGATGGTGTCAACACCCAGACAAGCATCACTCGTAAGATGTTCTATGAGCAAGAAAGGAGAGAAGATGCAGGCTGAAATGCCGCGTAGAGAAGCTCTGGCAACCATAGCCTTGGGGACGGCTCTCTCTTGGCTGCCCAGTGGAATTGCAGATGCTGCTGGTTTGCCTCCTGGTCCTCCTGCTCCCAAGATCTGTGACGATACTTGTGAGAAGGAGCTTGACAGTGTAAGTTGAACAGCATTGTGGTCTGCATTTTCCGTAGACTTTTTTGCAACATCACTCAATGGATGACAAGAAATCCTGATTATACTACTTGCTTGAAATCTTAATTATATGCCGATATGCTGTCGACTGAGAAATCCTCTATGGGCTTACGATAACTATGGCAGATCCCAATGGAGACAACACCGTCAGGTCTTCAGTACAAAGACATTGTCGTTGGAACTGGGGACAGTCCGCCTGTTGGATTCCAGGTTATTTTACCGCACTCCACTTTCTGTGTACTCCCTGAAACTTGGTCAATGGTGCAGTTAAACCTTATTAGCTATCCAACCTACGGCCTCTAATTTGGAAACCTCTACTGAATCAGGTCGCAGCAAACTACGTGGCTATGATACCCAATGGCAAGATTTTTGACAGGTAGTTTTCGGCCTTTTCGCGTCAGTATGCCCTCATTCATTCAATCGTCCACGAACGCAATGTTAAATGTAGTTTTCTTAGATTTCGGATTGGATTACGAATAACGGATCGAAAATATCTAGGACAGATTCTTGTAAGGAATGGGACCTTCGCTTCCATGCCAATAGTAACAGGACTCATCTTACAATGGTGGTTTTGTACCAGTTCTCTCGAGAAAGGAGTGCCATATATCTTTCGAGTAGGTGCTGGTCAGGTGAGTCTTCGCTCTACCTAGAACTGCAATTTCAATCTGCATCATGGTCTATCCTAGTTAGCAATTCCCTTCACAAGGGAAGGCGATGGTCACGTCCTGCATTAACCAATTCTCTATCTACCATGAATGATCGTTTACACAGGTCGTCAAGGGCTTGGACGAGGGAATCTTAACCATGAAAGTTGGAGGCAAGCGCCGATTATATATCCCTGGCGAGGTACGCACTTTCCTTATAACTGCTTCCATATCCAGAGGCTACTCACACATGTCCCTTGATATATTATATGCTTGTAGAAGTTGCCTTTAATTCTGGCGAACGGTTCTGTTATGCATCCTCGAGTGATGGCAGATTCGTGTGTTGCTTGTGACAGTTGGCGTTTCCGAAGGGACTCGGTGCTGCAGCGGGTAGACCAAGAGTACCACCCAGTAGCCCAGTCATCTTCGACGTAAGCTTATTGTATATTCCTGGCATTTCAGACTTCGAGGAATAGTGTAGCTAAAGCTACCGTGCACACTCTCTTGTCACGAGTGACTCAAGTAGGATTGATCTGAACCATTTGGTTGATCAGTTGTAGAGATGTAACAAATTTTTTTTTTTTTTTTTTTTTCTAACAATTCGATCATTTAAGTTCATTCCGTACGTTCCACCACGTCGAATTGCTCAGTTTATTGATCAGGAATACTGAAGGAGCTTGTTGAGTGAATAACACCAGAAAACGTAGTGTGCAGACGCTAATATGATTATTATAACATAGCGCCTCATACGTGATAAATTCTTTGGTGCATGAGAGTAGAACATGTCAGTAATACCAAAATGGTGTAGTTGCAAGCATTATTTATAAACCGTGCGAGGCAAGATGAGTTTTATCAAAGTTACCTCAAAGAGATTCGAATGAATGTGTGTTTTCAGAATCCCACAATATACGATTCGTTAACACAGAAACTGCTCTCTTAATTTTTTTAAAACCAATTTTAATACATACGATAAAAGTGCAATCTTCATTATTCTTATTAATACAATTACTTTCATTTGTGTTGAAAAATTAGAAACCTTGTTTAACTTATTTTAAAGTTTTACAACATTTTAGAGATACGATCATTAATGTTTTTGAGAATGTTTTTTTTATCACAAGTATAGTTAAATTTTTTAAATAACAACTTATAGCTTGAACTCAATATAGTCAACTTGACATACATTGCATTGATTGACAACATAAACTATATATTTCATTTATTAATTAATCTATTTTTGTTTAGAAAATAAACATGCTTTTAAAGAATTTGTCGATTTCTCTTTGGAAGATATAAAAGTTTGTAACCCTTTTACATATTAATTTAATTTACTTTAAATTTCCTGTATTTCAGATAATTTGAATAATAGAAAAAGAACATCTTTGTAATATTGATGACTGTTTGGCTGCAATAGATTGGAAACTAAGATTTATATGAAAAGATTAGCTAGGATTTTATTGTAAAGTCTATTGTAGTTGCTTGAATTATTCCTTGAGTCTACAATGTTATCCCTCTAATAATTAGTACACATGCAACTTAGAGCATCAAATATAAAATGCCCTCAATATTCATTTACATTGAATGTTGTGAATGGATCACAATTTAAACTAGACTCAAAAAACCTAAAAGCTTAGGTCACATCAATAAGGTAGCATATATATATATATATATATATATTAAATCCATGTGAATGAAAAGATCTAATTGTTATGATTATTTATATTTATTATATATTAATATTTTTTCAAAAAAATAGTATTAATATATAGTTTCATAGTTTTAATAGTAAATTTTTTGTTGACAATAGAAAGTAAAATTTTCTCTTTATTCTAAATAAGTAATAATCTATAATTATTTCAAAAAGGATTTGTAAAAAAAAAAAAAAAAAAAAAAAAAAATCAACATGATTACTAATGAAGAAAGATGTGTAATATTTTAGTTCTAAATTTTTCTAATTTTAATTTTCTTCGGCAGCTTGTGCATAGATGTTTAAGATAATAATTAAATAAATTTATTTCCTCCAGTGCTCTTGTCAATAAAGATGTAAACAAATTTTTTATCATTGCATTTACCACTTGAAAAAAAGAAAATTGTTAGGTAGAATCTTCTTGTACTACACATCTTTGCATCCACACGATTGCTAAAAAATCAGTAGTTTTGATCTTGGATTATGACAAATCATGATAAATGTTATTTTCATTATTATAATGCCACGTTTTGATAGATTTTTAATGTATACATATATTCTGTATAATCATATATCATTGTTTTTGTCCTCACAAATTGTTGTCATATTTAGTTTTGAGTAACATAAACATAAAAGATTGTGTATGCTTACTGTCTTATTCATCAGTGTCCAATTCATGAAAAAAGAAGGATAAATTAAATAAATAATAGTAATAGCTCATTCCACATCAAAAACCAATTACTGTTTTGGAAAAGTATATGTTGAGTGATTGGCACAAAGGTGTCCACGTCATAAAAGAGTGTCTGCAATAGAACGATGTGTCCACCCAAAAGTTCGCTAAAAGCAAATTGGGTGATGAAAAGGATCCGGGTTCTTCAAACTAAGCGTGGAGTAGAGGGGTCACAATCCCGCTACACAAGAGTAAAGTTGTCCAATTTCAGAGATCCATACAAGTCTTTAGGGCACTGCAAACAATCAGTTTGACCACAGGAAATCTGTTCTCTGTAGGCAATGGCGCAGTTGCTACACTACCATCGAAACCCTAGCAGATAGCTTGCCATTGCAGGAAACCACAACAAATATGAAGGTTCATGGGGTTATTTTACGAAAATCATGAGGCAGCTTGTAGTGCCTTAAAGATCTTCACATAGTTTACACAACGTCGTTGCCTCTATTGTGATGTAAATCCGAATGCCAAGACGTTAAAAACCGCAGCTGCTGAATCCTAACCGTTCGCAATAGAGATAGAGTGTGGTGCTTTGCGACACTGGAAACAATGAACATACTCTTCATCAAATCAGCGGTTACCCGCACTCGAATCTCAGCTTACATACCAAATCCCCAAATACAGATATTGCAAAAAAGAATTTGACATCCAACACCTTCTTTACAGTTTAGACACACACGCTCGAGCCTAGACTACAGGTTAACGAATTCTGGGCGCGGCAATGCTCCGACTACTTAGAATTTGCCTGCACATCAATACGAAACACAATCCTCAGAAACAAGGGTTGCGCGCTAAACGCTGTCTACAAACGACGCAAAACCATCAAAAGTTATCTCGCTTTCAAACAGCCACATCCTCACATAGGCCAAATTTCTAGCAAACTTCCCTTACCAGTGAGTAGGAGGGTGCCGGAGAAAGTACCTGGGAATACAAGAAGGTTCCTAATATAGCAATGGCAGCACCCACAGCGTTCACTGGCCGCACTTGTGTGTGGAAAATGATGATGGATGACACGATAACCGTCACCCGCTTCATGGTGTTACCAATGCTGAACGTTAGTGGCGAAATCTCGTGCAACGACATGTACGACACCTGGTTGTACAAGTGGTAAAACACACTCTGCGCCACCACCCACCTGCACATCACCGTGTGGGTTGGTCAAAATCTCCCTCAATCCTCCACTCTAACCATGCTACTCGCATGTCTGTACATCAGGTCACTTCCCTCCCTGGTGAGAGCTCATGCACAAGGCCACACTCGAAACATCAACTACGTGGTACACGTTCTGGGGCATAGACTAGGAAGAAGATTCGACTACCAGAAAATCTGTGGTCCAATAGCCAAGTTAGCAACTTCCCATCCCGCCTGCCAGGCCTTGGGGCCTTCAACGGCAAGCGCGAAAGGAGTCAACAACACAAGCGACATCATGCTCAGGCATGCGTAGTAGTTCATGCCACCAACGCTCTTGCCGGTTGTCATCCCCTTCTTCGAGAAGATGTTACGGAAGACGAACGCAACGTTCGAAATCATGGCTCCCACAAATCCTGCCATACCAAAGTAATCAGATGATTCACCCTTTACCATCAACTCCTTATTGGGTCCAAAAACACCTGCATCCCTTTCAGATTATCCAGAATAAACACGCGACCTTGTTGAACAAACGCAATACTAACAGTACAATACCTGTCATGTTGAAGTTAAGCTCTGTGGCAGCAGCCAAACCACAACCACCAACGATAGGCAACAAAGACAGGTACACTGGCACTGGGAAGTGCTCTCCCAGCAACAATCTTTGAATGACCACGCTGAATGCGGGTTCTGCGCTCTTGATGATGTGTGTGAATGACACTGCAACCTTCGACATACTCACAGTCGCTGCCACGTGCCCAATCGTGTGCGCCAATGCCACCTTCAATTGCACAAACCATGAAAAGGTTAGAACAGCCCCCAATAAAACTGCTAGTGCTCGATCTCACAAGCACCAACGAACACTGCACACACGTTTGCCGATGCTTTTGTTCACAAAATCAACACTCTTTCCGAGTAGCGCGACTACAAGATACGGCTGCACAACCTGTGTGTAGCTAAAAAGGAATGTACCTAGTCCGCATTCCCCTTCCTAAGTGACCTGTACCTCTAGCTGCCTCACAATTCGTCTGATAGCAACTTAACTTCCAATCTCATTAACAAGCGCGTATAGCTGCGACAACTTGGTGCAAAGCGTAGAATGCAAGTGTAGGAAACAATTCGGACAATTTAGGCTATGCGGTGAAGATTTGGCATCATACTCGAGTGTTCATCTCCAGAAACACGCCGACCAACATACTTCATTCCTACAGCCACAGTGCATGCAAGAGTAACACCTGTGCCAATGCACATTGACTACTACAAAACCCTCTCTGTAATTACACTTTCATGACGAAATCGATTGGACATACTGGCCCGTGTGCACTACTTGGACGCGTAGAAAGGGCAGTGACGTACCGGAGCAAGGCCTTTCCAGAAGTCAGCATCCACGTCTGGTGCAGGCACAATCCGCAGTGCCCATGAAATAAGCATGATGGCTGAACCGGCTGCAAGGGATAGAGTGGATGTCAACCATGGGAATGGAAACGCATTCAGCACTTTCTTGTTGTAGATGTTGAATACCACATTCAATGCCCACCAAGTGGCGAAGTAGATTCCAATCTTCACTCGCCCCATTACGGGCTTCGCAACCTCGACATTGCCGACCTCCGGTGTTCCTTCCGGAAATGCGTCAGAAGCACCCGCATCAGCGGCCTGAGCAGATATTCTGTATACCTGTGCCCTCTTCATGGCTGGACCCACTTTTGTAGAGGAGCTCACACCTAGTGACTCACCAGCCAGGAACGGGTTGAAGCTCAACTTGCTAAGACTGATTGTTGTCTTCAGCGTTGTGGTATTTGCCACAGCTTGCACCCTGGAAGATTGTGAACGAGTGATTCCATACTGACTTCGAGCGATTGCTGAGCTTGAGGAGCTGCCCCGACAAGACAGGCGCTCGAGATTAGGAGAGGCCAGGCCTGGTAGAGTACGCATCGTCATCATGGTGCCTGGGCCTCCCAGCTGTGAACGACGCCTCAAAGCGAGTGAATTTGAAGGGCGAAATCGAGGAAGGACCGTATTCTCAAACAGATGAACAGTGCTGGTGATTACAAATTATTGCGCTGTCGCCCTCACTCCAGACGAGACCTGCAATTACACAACAAAACAAATGAACACAGAGGTACTTTTGAGACATTTTGTAAACGAATGACGACATTACTTGAAAAAACGATACAATGCAAGAAATAAAGACAGTAGGGAGAAAAAATCAAAAGAAAGGAAGAAAGAAAAGAAGAAGTACAGTAAAACGCCGAGTCAACGCAAGTGGCGTATTTGATGTGCACGGTACATACTTTCTAAAATTCTCAGCTTCTCAGCCAGGAATTGACTAGTACAATATGAAAGACGCCCAAAAAAGAAACATTTGCTGGACTCTGGTGTATTTCATGATCCCATTAAAACGATTGGTTTTAAGAAACAGGGATTCAGTGTTTCAAGTGCGAGATCCATCCGATCTCCGTATTCGTTAATCCCAATACCCGATGTAAGCGATTCTCACTTCCTTCGCTCTACACGGACCCACCGAGACCAAGCACTACGCTCCCAAGCCATCACCAGAGAGTACGTAAGTACTTCTTTGGAGAGAGCAACAGAAATTATTGACTTAAGACATTCATAGGCAACACAACACAAATTTGAGTTCACCACATATACACCAGTGCATCGACGTCTTCGAGATCAGCACCCATGCAGACAAAACCTCCCCACTACGTCATTCAGGAGAGCAAACAATCTAGTACGAGCAAAATCGTCAACACTTTCACAATCCGCATCCAACCCAACCAATTTCAAACCCACCCACTGCACATAAGCAGAAAACAATTCTCGACATCAGTAGATAGTGCGCGACACTCACCAGCCACCACCCTTGGAGCTCCAAACCACAAATCGGCCTCTCCGTCGATGCAATCTGCAGAATTATGCACCCTCTCTCACTCTCCGAGCCACAACTACACCCCGCGATCTTCTCCTCCACGTGCCTCGAGTCGTATCAATAAAAATATCGGTTGTAAAGCTGACAACGAGGGGGAAGGCAATGGGCCAGAGTGGAGGGAGGGATTGCTGGGATTACGGGGGGGGGGGGGGGGAGAGTGTTGAGACTAAACGAGTGATACCAACCAAGTCACTCACTCACTCACCCACACTCTCCGCAATCGTCCCTTCCGAGAAACAGGCTCGCACTCTTGCCAGCCGTCGATCCGACACCGACGTGTAGGGACCGGAAGAGCCCGACTGCCGCGGACCCTCCTGCACGGGACGCCGGGCAGAAGACGATTTTTTTTTTAGAGGGCAAACATCCGTATTGTCTTCTCATCGCACTTATTCCATCTGCCCGAAGGAAAGGTGCTGAGTTGGCGTATTACTTTTTAGGGTGCTTTTTCTCGGTCAGTCAGACTAGGTCGCGCTCTCGGATCCGCTCTCGCAAAGCGGCACTTGGCACGACTTCGCTGCGGGCCTAAGGATAGGATGCTTCTCCTCGTCCTGGTCCCCCATGGCGCCCACAATTTGCTTGGACGAGAGAACAGAATTCTATGCGGAGCAGGTTCGCCCCCTGCCTGCTATGGCCATATCCTCCTCCTCCCTTCCCTTCCCTTCCATCCCCTTGCCTCCCCCTGCTCATTTGCTTTTTCCGATCTTGGGCCTTTTTCAAACATATCTATCTTTCATCCTCTCTCATGGCGTTTCGATGTCTTTCATCCGTATGTGGATGAATGATCTGGGATTATGAGTCTCCGCCTCCAGGCGTGAGCAGCCGGTTCTTTCCTATCCTCTGACACTCGATCCGTCCAATCGTATTTTTCCACGTGTTCATGAACTGTTATTCCTGGAATCTCTTCTCTGCGTGTTCGGAATATTCCGAAAGTTGCTCAATTGTGGAAACTTTGATTACAGAGTTCAAATTTTGATTTACTTTTATCTTTTTGCTTTTTGCTTTTTTGCTTTTGTTTTGAACAAGTACACGCAGTTTCTGCTTATTGACTGGTTTATGAGCTTTTTATCTTCATAGTATTGTTCACGAAATATTTAGATTTAAAAGCATAATTCACTTATTTTTTTTATTTTTATTCGACATTAATTTCAAGGTGGGGTCCAATTGGCAAGGTTGAAAATTTGCAACTGGGAATCAAAGTGCCGTTCTCTTGTACCAACCTGTCGCTCTTTAATAATATAAGGCGATTGCAGACTAATTATTATCGAGGTACTATTATTACTAAGTGTATCCTTTTCACACTGTGAATTTTTTTCAAGTCAAATTGATTTAAAAAAAATGAGACATTGGGTTTGTAAATGACTGTTGCAAATGTGTACATGAGCTGATTGTTCTTAGTGATGTGTGATTCTCAAATACAATTTTATAATTTGATACTTTTCTAGTCTTCCGAGTATGTTGATATAACGTTGCTTAGTTGAATGGATCTTTGGGGTTTGTTTCTTTCTTTCTCTCTTCTAAGACTGCTTAAGAGAATTTAAAATTATATAATTATTTACAAGAAAACTATGAACAAATTTTGATTTTATGTACTATTTATAGAATGTTTTTAGTAAATTCTAGGTTAGAAGAGGTAATTACATCGTACTAAATTTCGACTGAATTTTGAATTCCAAACTCGAATAAAAATCTAACAAAATTAGCTATAAAGTTCTTGCATGAGTGCCATAGAATGATCTATTTTTAATTTTCTTTCAAATTACTGAATAAAATAAAACTACACAAATTTAAAAATTCATGATAATAATAATAACAATAATTTCTTATCAAAATTGATAATTTTTCTTTGCATGTAAGAAGAAGACATTTTTTCCATTAGCACTAAATTTTATATTTTCCAATGTTTATTTTATAATGTACGTAATATTGCATTATTTTATTTCAAGTAAAAAATATGGTTTTAAGAAACTTAATCCTGAATTAAGTTTCTTAAAACTATATTTTTTACTTGATTCACATAACATATTCACTTGAAGTGTTATTAGGTATCTTTAATTCATCTCATAGTATTTACGTTTTTACAAATCTTATTTCTAAAATAAAATTTTTGAATTTTATGATTCTCATAATAAGCATTTTGTGATAATGCTGAATTTTTTATTTTTTTATTTTTTAACATTTAACCTATTATTTTGAATGAAATATTTTCCTTCAATAAAATAATTGCATGTCCATAGAGGTGTTACAGTATCACACAGCAACATTTAAAATAATATATATATATGATCAGAATTCCTACATTTACAATTCACTTCTTTAAAACATAGAATTTTTATTTTTATTTAGAAATAATATATATTTTTTAAAAAAGTGAAAGTTTCTCATACATCACAAAATGATAATAATTTTTAGATCTCGCATCGGATTCAGTAGATTAGATCAAATTCTCATATTCAGTACATTAGAAAATATATATTTGAAGAGTTTTTACTTCTGTTTTTTTTTTTTTTTTTTTTTTTTTTTTTTGCTGCATGGTTAGTTAAATGAAAATTAGATTTAAAAATGTATCTTGTAAATAGATAAAGTAAAGAGTTTAAGTCAAACTATTTACATTGAATTTGGACCAGTATATAATAACAGTAAGTTTAATATAATAATTACACATACATATGCAATATTATGATTCTTAACAATCGAATTGGAAATTAAAATAATCACATCAAATTCAGATTGTTTCATTGTTGTTTCAGTTTTTCATATTAAAAATTAAAAACTCCAATTATAATTTTCTTTTAAAATTTTTAAAATTTCCATCATGCTAATTGAAATTTTACTTTTACTTCTACTATATCAAAATGTATTTTTTTAATCCCAATGATCAATTTTTGTCAAAAGAACTAAATTTGGAAATTAGTAAGTAACTCTAGACAACATATCTATAGATATGTATCTATATATCTAGCCTATTAGCATTACTTGAGTAATAAAATTTATTTCTACTATTGTTTATACATAACCATACTTGAAACACCTAATTGATATATTAAAAAAATGTGTACTCAATTCATACGCAAGGATGCATTCAGTTCCAAAAATATCCTCCAAAAAACATTCACCAATACAAAAGATAAAAATAGGAAACCTCTCAATTAAATTAGGTTGACAATCTTCCCCCTAAGGATACAATACTATCTAAAGAAGTAGATCCAAAACTTTTTATTTAATAAGCTACTTTTTTGGATTTCTAACCTAAGAGCACATCTAAGACCAGGTGAAGTGAGTGGACTAACTCATGACCAATGTTGCCACGTAGGAAATGTGTCGAGGTGGCCAGGATGTTGACAGGTTCTACTTGTGTTCTTTCCCGCCTAAATGCTGGCGGTGTGACTGAATTTGAACGTCATGACAAGGCAGCGAGAGCGGGAAAGCGAGAGAGAGAGAGAGCGAGCGAGTGGGTTTTTGCTGATTCCCAAAGCCATTCTAACTATGGCGGGAAAGAACACAAGCTTGTCCGGGACCTGCATGTCTACGTTTCGTATCTGTACACAAATCGGTACAGAGCCTTCAAGCGATCCAGTTGTGCATTTGCGTCGCGTGTGGACGTCGAGCCGTTCGGAAGTTCAGTTAACGGGCGGTGGAGCTAGATGCAGGATTCTGAAACGTGCAAAGTGGAAGAAGAAGGGCCGAGATATCAACTATGTCAGGAGGAGCTGAAGAAGACCCTGCAAGTTTCGGGGCCTATATGAGGTATCGAGGGATCACATCATGCGGGTTTTTGTTGATGTGATGGACAGTCAGGAGGAGGTTGATGATGGGAGGGCGATCGAGGATGGTATAACCAGGGGTTCCATTAATGAAGATCTTAAGTACATGGATCTTCGACACAGCGCTGATGAGAGTGGAAAACTTTCTTGTTCAACTCGAGTCGTACTGGTTGCAAACGTGAATTCATTTTGCACAGTGCGCGTGCTTTACCACTGTGTACTCAAAAATTGGCTGAGAAGCCTCTTGCAAACCTCTAATGCACGATTGTTTGCCCTTTACTTGCTCTAGTTCTGGGCTGATTTCTATATTACCATGTAATGGAATCTATTAGCAATATGGATCAAAACTTCTCAATAGCTTAGCAGTTCTGATAATTTTACCTACATTCGTTCATAATTTTCCTACTCTGTATCATCATCTCATTCACAAACGATCCCCGGTCATTCTGGGGTGATTAGATTCCCAACTTCTACAATTTGATTTTATACCTGCACTGCGTGATCTTTATCACTCATCTTTGACGTCTTCTCTGTTATTTTCCCCCGTCTCTTATCTCATTGTTTCAAACAGCGATTATATATTTGGCTGCGAGAACGTGTCCAAAAAACGGTTCAGATTTAACAAAATCGTCCCTTCTACCTTTCACTTCAAATTGTTCAGATAAAGGTCTCGTTCTGCGAGAAAAAAATCATAAAATTTTAAAATTCAAAATAAAGTTATCAAAAAGGAAAAGAGGTAGAAGGAGAAGAAGAGGAAGAAGTAGAAGGAGAAGAAGGGAACATTTTTAATTTTACAGCACGAAGCAAAAGATTTGTTTGATGGTGGGGACAGGAAAGAGTAATTTCTATGCTTGAATTTTCTAGAATCCGGAGGGGCTTAGTTTCGAGCAGTCAACTCTTTTGGCCCGAGCAGCAGAACGGATTGACTACTGAGTTAGTAGAAGATGCACATCCAAAGGGCATGGATAATATGGTAGTAAAACGGGACCAGGATTTGCAGCAAAAGACGCAGGAACACTTGAATGGTTCATGGGAGCAGCTTGAGGGAGATGACGCATTAAAAAAATCTAAGCATTCTACTCAGGACATCAGAGATTCTCCAAAGAATTTGATGATGAAATCTTCACTGGATACTTCTGTCTCTCAATTATATCAACACACTTGTATATGCTTAGATGTTTTGCCCTTTTATTTACGTATGCTTTGAAATCACAGGTTACTGTGTCATTTAATCTTCTTTTGATTTGGTGTCTCAGAAGGAATGGGATGACAGCAGTTTCGTTGCCAATGATTTCGACACCTCACCAGTAACAAAGCCTGAATTCTGCTTCTCAGATGAAAACCTATATTTGGCCATGATGTTAGTAAAAGTTCTCGTCGCTGCTCTGACAAGGCTCATTTTGTAAAAGTTCA